CTCGCCCTTCAAGTTCCCTGTCTGTCGCACGAACTCAAACACCTGCCGAACTGTGACAGGGTAAGGGAAAGAGAAAGGCAAATGGTGAAAACAAACAAGGTGACGAAAACCATCCAGTTGTTCCTAAAAAATCCTGCCTCCCAGTTGCCAGTAGTATCCTTGTAGGACCGGGCCGCATTGGGAAGCACGCTGCTGTCCATGCCAGCGTTCTTGGGGTTCTCGCTTTCACCTGCTGCATCTGGTCGGGGTGAAGGTCCAGCTGCCGCTGCCGTAGGGGGCGGATCTTCCAAAGCTGTTGCAGCTGACTTTCTCAAAGCTTTCGAAACTGCAGACTCAACAGCCTCAACAGCCTCAGCAGCCTCAGCGGCTACAGCCGGTCGCTTCAACTGTTTTGTCTTCTTGGCTGGTGGATCTCCTCTGCTGGAGGGAGGCCGCTTCAACTTTGGCGGCTGGTTTTTTCATAGCTGGTTCGTCACCCTCCGGCTCTGGAGTCGAAAAAAATTCTAATGGCGAGTCCTGCTTCCTGCATGGCCGGAAGAGCGAGGCTGAGTCAGAGGTGGCACAGCCTCCTCTTCTTGTGTGTCAAAGCCATCCTTGGGAGAAAACAGCTTGAAGGCTTTGTATGGGCTAGAAGGCTCTTCTTTGGATCCAGCTGCCTTGCTTGAACACTCTTGAACTCCACGAAAGGCCGCGCTCACGGGCAAGCTTTCCCTTACTCCATTCTTTTGACAAGCCTGAAGCCCCAGAATCGTCCTCAAGTCTCCTCTCTTGAGAGTCACCATCAACATCATGCACAATGCCATGATGCGCATCTAATCGAAAAAGCACTGCTGCACCAAGCTGCGCCTGATGATCGTCAGCCGCCATGGGCAGACTCAAAACCGGTGCGGTGAATTCGCATCCTTCCGAACTGTTGACAGGATCCTGACATGATGATGACAATACTGCCCCTGGACATTCGTCCGTAACTCGGAAGTTTTCGAACCAAACTTCCTCTGATATTGTTTAATTAAAATTAGATAAGATTAGTATAGTTTGTATGTGATGTATGCGTGCGGGCGCGCGAGCTCATTTGCAGGTTCCCAGGCAAGGTTCCCAAGCAAGGGTTCCAGAAACAGTTGCTAAGCAAGTTTCCCAGGAACAGGTTCCCAAGCAAGGTTCCCAGGAACAGGTTCCAAGAAAAGGTTGCCAAAAAGGTTGCCAAAAAGGTTTTCGAACTAAACTTCCTGTGTTAAATGGCTTAATTTTAAAAAACAATGATTAATTGGTATAGTGTGTGCGCGCGCGAGCTCATTTGCAGCTTGGAGATTTTGCACGATGTGGCTCAAGTCAAACCCCGCGGTGTTTCTGTGTTTGGATAGTTTTCTGTGCTGCAGCAATGGCATGTGTTCCCGGGTTTTCTCTCAATTGCGAACGCAAAAATTTCTCCTCGCCTTACATGAGCGAGCAGAACTATGTGCGCTTTCGAGCTATTTGGGCTTTGATCTTTGTGGTTCACGGGCTGTATGACCAATATACATCGATCTTCATTGATGAGCCCAGCCAAAGCATTTGGTACTACTTCTACTTGACGCATCAATCCCGATTGGTGCAGTCCTTGGGTCAGCTTACAGAGTGGATGTGTGCCCGGTCATTCTTCAAAGGAGAGATTCCATCGGCTTGGATCTCAAAGACAACCATGTTTTGCTTTGTAGTGGGGCAACCAATCTCACTGTTAGTGGCCGTGGGTTACTGGCTCATGGTTTGGTCTGACCTTGAGGATGGCAAGCTCGATGTAACCTACTACACGGTCTACAATCATGGCATCAATGGCTTGCTTTTGTTTATCAGTTTCATGATCAGCCGAATGCCCTACTCATGCTCCAATGGCGGATGGGTTATTCTTGCTGGCATTTTGTACCTTGGTTTCTCCTTGATGCAGTTCCTGTTTCGCTGGGGTTCTTTCGAACCCTGCGAGGGCTACGAGGACCAGCGGGACTGTCCCATCTATGAGCAGTTCGACTGGCACAAGCCGCTAAGAACTGCACTGTTTGCCCTCATTGCTGTAGCGATTGGATTTGTTGTGATCTTGCTGTACAGTGGCCTGGCTGCTCTCCGAAACTGCTGCACCTCGGGTCAGATGGCTTCTGGTGAGGTTGCGGAGCTCCAAAAGGAGGATATGGAAGACATCCATAACGTTACAGAGCCGCTCAACAAGCCAGACAAGGCAGCAGCCACTGCATGGCCTCTTCGAGTGCCGCGTGACGTTTGAGCCCAGCCCGCAGACGATGCTGGCTTTTTGTTGCCAATGCCGAAGTAGGCATTGGCGTTGCCCTTATACAGTTTATACAGAATGATCAGAATGCGCTTTCTGGTGTGCATTCCAAATGGAGTGTGCACAGGATGAACGCACGGACTGTCATGGTAGCCGGGACGACCGGACTGTGCTGCCAACGACCAACGAGATGAGTGGAAGAAAAATATGCAAGTTGAGGTCTCAAACCACTAGGTGCGTGGATAGCTACACGAAAAATAGCTAGGTGTTGTGAAGCTGTCCCTTCACATACGTTTCAAGTTTTTCTTTTTCCAATGCTCCAAACAGCTGCAGGAGGCTCCAGTGCCAGAAGGCATCAGAAGGCCCCAACGATTCAATCAGTTGCTTGCGGTGGTCATCCGCGGCAAGCATCTTTGCATGTGGCTCCTGGGACAAAAACATTTTGGCCGGATGGCAGAGGAGTAGTGAGACTGAGACTGTAATGATTGGGAGTGTCCGCAAGTCATGAATCCACCCAATAAAAGCCTCCCATCACTTCAGTGATTCATTTTTGGAAATCATCCAGTCGACTACGTGGCTGTACATGATAAATGCATATAAAAGCAGCTACCGGACCACAAGGGGATCACCAGGGGATCACCAGTACATCACAAGGGGATCGCAAGGGGATCACAAGGGAACCTTGCTCCTTCACTCGCCAACACGCAGCCGTGTCAGTGACCAGCGACTCACCTCTCCGCTGAGGCATGACCTGCAACCATGAAGCACCAGTTCTATCCAGTTCTGTGCTGAGCCTTTTCAAAGGATTGGCAGCGATATTTAGTGGAGGCTGTGACAGCAGAGGTGCTTCAGCTGGAAGCAGTTTCACACTTGACACTTTTCGTAATTCCCCACCTGCCAGGTGAGGGTTGTTAGATTTTATCAGAGTTGTTCTTCTCCTCCTCCTCTTCCTCCTCGTCCTCCTCCTCCACCACCTCTGCCTCCACTTCCATGTTCACTTCTGCCTTGCCAACTCTTCGCCAAGCTCTTCGCCAACTTCCGCACGCAGTGGGCACTGCTGGACCTCAACTGCAAGGGTCTGAGCGCACTGGGCCCCGCTGGACCTCAACCTGGGACCTTCCGAGCTCAGTGAGCACCGCTGGACCTCAACTTGGGACCGTCCGAGCTCAGTGAGCACTCCTGGACCTCAACCTGGGACCATCCGAGCTCAGTGAGCACTGCTGGACCTCAACCTGGGACCCTCCGAGCTCAGTGAGCACCGCTGGCCCTCAACGGCCAGATAGAATGCCAGAAGATTTGCCAGATAGAACGCCAGATAGAATGTCAGAAAGATTGCCAGAAGATATGCCAGATAAAGTGCCAGAATGTTTGCCAGATAGAATGCCAGAAGATATGCCAGATAGAATGCCAGAAGGTATGCCCGATAAAGTGCCAGAATGTTTGCCAGATAGAATGCCAGAAGATTTGCCAGATAGAATGCCAGATAGGATGTCAGAAGATATGCCAGAAGATATGCCAGATAGAATGCTAGATATAATGCTAGAAGATATGCCAGAAGATATGCCAGAACATATGCCTGAAAATATGCCAGATAGAATGCCAGAAGGTATGCCAGAAGGTATGCCAGAATATGCCAGATAGAATGCCAGAAGGTATGCCAGATAAAGTGCCAGAATGTCTGCCAGATAGAATGCCAGAAGATTTGCCAGATAGAACGCCAGATAGAATGTCAGAAAGATTGCCAGAAGATATGCCAGATAAAGTGCCAGAATGTTTGCCAGATAGAATGCCAGAAGATATGCCAGATAGAATGCCAGATCGAATGCCAGAAGATATGTCAGATAGAATGCCAGAAGATTTGCCAGTAACAAACCGATAAATGTCATGGTGGGGATCACACGAAGTAAAGTAATTTCATAACACGGTATTTTTTTATATAATAGGTTGCGTATGCCCTTTACGGGGAATTTCTGAGTAAGATTTGCACGATGTGTTCATGTTGTCTTGATTTGTCCCTTGGAGGTGAAGATGAAAATGCTGCAGACACAGCAAGAACAACAAATAGGTGAAGAACTTGGCTTGGCTTCTCTTATTGGCTTTGACTTTTAGATTGAAATGGGATGAAATTGGAACTTTTTGGGATTCCAAGGTCAGCATGATGCACGGATCATCACGGGTCAAGTTGGAAGTTCAAAAATTTGGCGACCGATTTGGGTTTGTCTGAAGCTATGGACTATGGCGCACCAAAATCCACTGGCGATCACTGGTTTATCATGATCTTCCCTTTCAAAATTGACAAAATGGGGTAAGCCATGGAAGGCCCCATTTTGAAACATAACAAACCCATTTGTTTGGCATATTCTGATCTTGAATTTCCGGAGGAGTTATTGTAGTGAACGCCTATGCACCAAGGCTATTCCTTGTTGTGCTGAAGCGCAATGAGGCCATCTTCAGAGGCCAGCAAACAGTTGACCTTGTTAACAGAGGGGCCACGAGACAAAGATCAGCACAGATTGCATACACAGGTAGCATGCCTTTGAGTCGCTGCATCTTGAATAGGGAGCATGTCATAGCATGTCATGTTTCTGCCTGTCTCACTTGAACTTGTCGGATCCCAATCACGGGCATTGTTCGGCATGACTCGGCATGATTGTGAAGCAACAAACTATCACAATAATATCACAAAAACATACAATAGAATACAATAGATCATGATGTATCAACACATTTGAGGCTCAAGGACCTGGAAGTAGTTGGGACAATTCGCAGTATCCGGCGACTCGCGGCATTCCGTAGCTTGCATTGTGATCATCGAGATCAGACGTTGACCATGGGCAGCACGGCAACGACAAAGAACACCCAGAGCGACCTCCAACGATGGCTTGAGACTACTCGCCATGTTTTTGAGGAACGAAGCAACTCAGGCAGATCCTTCCCTGGTGTGGTCTCCGCCCTTTCCTTGGAGGTCGCGCGCCCCAGTATGCTTCAAAACCGTCAGGTCCGCCGTCCTCAGAATGATCAGGCCCAAGAGAACGCTGAGCATCCTTCCACTGCTTCCACGGCATCAGGCCGGGCGGGGTCAGGACCTTCAGGGTCTGGGAACTGAGATGAACCTTGAGACGAACATGGGGATGATGGCAGTGAACTCAGACGAACTGAGATTAACTGAGCCGTTCCAATTTTTCAACAGCTCGCAAGCTCCTCCTGGCAGCTGTTTGACATTTGCACTGGTCACTGGGTTGTGCAGGCTGTACAGGCGACCGGTGCAGCGTCAATTGCATAGCAATGTGCTTTCGTAGATGTGCGCGGTACGACCACCCAGAAATTACTACACGCACACAGGTTCATTATATATACTGTAATAATGATATAATAATTGTATAACTTAATATAAATATATATATATATACATTTATATTTACAATATTTCTGTGTGCGTTTTCATCTTTGTTTACAGGAATTTCAATCAGAACGAAAAGGCACACAAGTCTGGATGAAATTGCATGATGGTGTGGTCGTGGCACGTGGGCCGTCAACGTCAAAAGCACTGCATGTTCGATGTGGAACCTAAGTTGTCTAACAATGAATTCGTGGCTTGTCCACCCATTATTGAAATGCTCATTTCAAAGTGCAGCGCCAAGATGCCTGCTGCTTGCACGTCCTTATGGATTGCATTTTTCAAGAGCATTGCCTAGCGCAGACTGATGGATCATGAACTTTAAAGTTGGGACCCCTTGCCATCCAACTGTTCATCCAGACTGGATGCCAGGGACACCCATTGATTTTTCAACAGTCTGTCATGCGAAAGCTGGACGACTCGGCAGACCGATGCAAGAGTTGCACAAGCACTTCCTAATAAACATACTTGTACAATGATTTCCAGGCAGCCACTTGGCCTGTGGATTTCTTGACGCATCCTGAAGCTTATGAGTCCATGTCAAGCTAGACCCTGTGCTGTGGGCATGAAAGCTATGTATCCAGCGCTGAGTGTTGACAGCAAAACGTGATGCTGTGCCGTGTTTTGTTCAGCATCTTCAGGACACAAAAAACAGAAAAAAAGGATCCAACTTGCATGTCATTTGCCTCGAACCTTCCCCGAATCACTTCAGAGTGCTTCAGGGGGTCATTGTTTATATGTTATATCACTAGTGAACTAGTGCCCGGCACGCGCCGGGGCGGAAGTTTCGAAAAAAGGAAAAGCTGTAGGAAGAAGATGGTATATAGGAAAGTTTTTGAGATGCAGAAGCAACGAAGCGTTGAACCAACGAATGAGCACATGGTTGTTGAGATGCCAATGAAATGACATGAAAGAATCCGCACACAGCTGACTGAATGAATCAATGAACCAATGAATAAGTGAATCAAACATTGAATGAACGAATCAATGGATCAATAAACCAATGAATCAACGGAGCAATGAAGCAATGAAGCAATGCGCCGATGAACCAGTGAACCAATGAATCACCAATCAATGAATCAATGGATCAGTAAACCAATGAATCAACGAATCAATGAAGCAATGAATCAGTGAATCGACCAATGAATCAAATGAATCAATGAATCAATGATCGAAGGAAGTTTAGAAGTCAAACTTCCGACAATATGGACAGATGAAAAGCAGAGTAGGGCAGAGGCAGAGAGAAGAGAAAGATTAGAAGAGAGAAGTGTAGAAGAGAAAGAGTCGTCAGAAGAAAGAAGATGCAGATGCACGAAAAAGTAGGAAAGTCGCGAAACCCTGTGTTTTTCCAATGATTTGTGGCTCCGGAGGGTCAAAAAGTAGGCTCGCTAAAGCGGCGGGTGCGGAGCCAGCTGGCCAGATGAGAGATGAAAAATTGCAGGCCGTTGTGGCGCGAAGCAGATTTTGAAGTGAAAAGGTACAAAACACGTGGGTCTCGGACCACTTTTGGAAGTTGAGATGTCGAAAAAGTGCACGCCGTTGTGGCGCGAAGCACATGTCAAAGTGAAAATGTACAAAACACCTCAGTGTCGGACCGCTTTTGGAAGTTGCGATGTCGAAAAAGTGCACGCCGTTGTGGCGCGAAGCACATTTCGAAGCGAAAATGTACAAACACACACCAGGTGCGGACCACTTTTGGCAGTTGAGATGTCGAAAAAGTGCACGCCGTTGTGGCGCGAAGCACATGTCGAAGTGAAAATGTACAAAACACTAGGGGTTCGGACCACTTTTGGAGGTTCAGATGTCGTTTCGCGTGGCAGGCGCAAGGGATTTTGCACCTTGTCAAAAGTGGGCAGAACGTGGGGGTTTTGTGGCATTTCCAAAAACGATGGCAGGTGTGGGACATTTGAAGAGGGTTTGCAAAGATGCATTTTCCGTGGCAGGCGCACTACAAGAGACATGTTCATCAGAGCATTAGAAGGTCCGGGCAGTGATTTCCTGAGAGGGGTTGCATTTTAGAGTATCAGATGTGCAGGTTTGCTAAGATGATTTTGCGTGACAGGTGCAGCACTTCGTATGACCTGGCATCAATTTTCCGTGGCAGGCGCGGTACTTTAGACAGGTGGACTGGAAAAATCGCTAAACGCATTGGTACGAGGCTGTCAGCTCTGCACTCAACTTTCCATTTTTGAAGGTTTTTCCCGAGAGCGTCTGAGCGCAGGGTTCTTCCAATAGTGGGGGTCTGTATCTCACCTTCTCATCTTCACACCTTCTCATCTTCACATCTGCTCATCCTCACATCTGCTCATCTTCACATCTTCTCTCACATCTTCTCTCACATCTGTTCATCTTCATATCTTCTCTCACATCTTCTCTCACATCTTCTCTCATCTGCTCATCTTTCTTCATATCTTCTCTCACATCTTCTCTCACATCTGCTCATCTTCACATCTGCTCATCTTCACATCTTCATCTTCACATCTGCTCATCTTCACATCTGCTCATCTTCACATCTGCTCATCTTCCCATCTGCTCATCTTCACATCTGCTCATCTTCACATCTGCTCATCTTCACATCTGCTCATCTTCACATCTTCTCTCACATCTTCTCTCACATCTGCTCATCTTCACATCTGCTCATCTTCACATCTGCTCATCTTCACATCTTCTCTCACATCTGCTCATCTTCACATCTGTTCATCTTCATATCTTCTCTCACATCTTCTCTCACATCTTCTCTCACATCTTCTCTCACATCTTCTCTCACATCTTCTCTCATCTGCTCATCTTTCTTCATATCTTCTCTCACATCTTCTCTCACATCTGCTCATCTTCATCTTCTCTCGCATCTTCTCTCACATCTGCTCATCTTCACATCTGCTCATCTTCACATTTGCTCATCTTCACATCTTCTCTAACATCTTCTCTCACATCTGCTCATCTTCACATCTTCTCTCACATATTCTCTCACATCTTCTCTCACATCTGCTCATCTTCACATCTTCTCTCACATCTGCTCATCTTCACATCTGCTCATCTTCACACCTTCTCTCACATCTTCTCACCTTCACATCTTCTCTCCTTTCTCTCTCCTTTTTCTCTCTCTCGCCTTCTTTTTATCTTTCTCTCTTAAGGCCGAGGGTGGTGCCGGCGGCGAGTCACGAAACGTCAACCCTTTCGCACGAAATGAGGGTCGATCGTCAAAAACTGAGGAAAAATTGCGATTTTACTTGTCCCCGAGCAACCCTTTTGCACGAAATGAGGGTCGATCGTCAAAAACTGAGGAAAAATTGCGATTTTACTTGTCCCCGAGCAACCCTTTCGCACGAAATGAGGGTCGATCGTCAAAAACTGAGGAAAAATTGTGATTTTACTTGTGCTAAAACAACCCTTTCGCACGAAATGAGGGTCGATCGTCAAAAACTGAGGAAAAATTGCGATTTTACTTGTCCCCGAGCAACCCTTTCGCACGAAATGAGGGCCGATCGTCAAAAACTGAGGAAAAATTGCGATTTTACTTGTCCTGGAGCAACCCTTTCGCACGAAATGAGGGTCGATCGTCAAAAACTGAGGAAAAATTGCGATTTTACTTGCCCCCGAGCAACCCTTTCGCACGAAATGAGGGTCGATCGGCAAAAACTGAGGAAAAATTGCGATTTTACTTGTGCCGGAGCAACCCTTTCGCACGAAATGAGGGTCGATCGGCAAAAACTGCGGTAAAATTGCGATTTTACTTGTGCCGGAGCAACCCTTTCGCACGAAATGAGGGTCGATCGGCAAAAACTGAGGTAAAATTGCGATTTTTCCTGTGCCGGAGCAACCCTTTCGTCTGTGTGTAAAAGCGTCTGTGTGTAAAAGCGTCTGTGTGTAAAAGCTTCTGTGTGTAAAAGCGTCTCTGTGTGTAAAAGTCTCTGTGTGTAAAAGCGTCTGTGTGTAAAAGCGTCTATGTGTAAAAGCGTCTGTGTGTCAAAGCGTCTGTGTGTAAAAGCGTCTGTGTGTAAAAGTGTTTGTGTGTAAAAGTGTTTGTGTAAAAGCGTTTGTGTGTAAAAGCCTCTGTGTGTAAATGTGTTTGTGTGTCAAAGCGTCTGTGTGTAAAAAGCGTCTGTGTTTAAAAAGCGTCTGTGTGTAAAAGCGTCTGTGTGTAAATGTGTTTGTGTGTCAAAGCGTCTGTGTGTAAAAAGTGTCTGTGTGTAAAAAGCGTCTGTGTGTAAAAGTGTCTGTGTGTAAAGGCGTCTGTGTGTAAAAGCGTCTGTGTGTAAAAGCGTCTGTGTGTCAAAGCGTTTGTGTGTAAAAGCGTCTGTGTGTAAAAGTGTTTGTATGTAAAAGCTTCTGTGTGTAAAAGCTTCTGTATGTAAAAGCTTCTGTGTGTAAAAGCGTCTGCGTGTAAAAGCGTCTGTGTGTAAAAGTGTTTTAAGTGCCTGTGTGTAAAAGCGTCTATGTGTAAAAGCTTCTGTGTGTACAAGCGTTTGTGTGTAAAAGCAGCTCCTGTGTGTAAAGGCTTCTGTGTGTAAAAGTGTCTGTGTAGAAGCGTTTGTGTGTAAAAGCTTCTGTATGTAAAAGCTTCTGTGTGTAAAGGCTTCTGTATGTAAAAGCTTCTGTGTGTAAAAGCTTCTGTGGGTAAAACCTTCTGTGTGTAAAAGCTTCTGTGGGTAAAAGCTTTGTGTGTAAAAGCGTCTGTGTAAAAGCGTCTGTGTGTAAAAGTGTTTGCGATGCAAACTATTCACTTGCACTTCTCACTATTTTGTCTTGATACTCCTCTTCTCGACTGCCTATAACACAGCTTTCATATATCGTTTCTAATCTTGCGTCTCCATACTAACAAGAGAAGACCCTGCTCCTCTACGCTCTCGGGCCATCCGTCGTCTAGTTGATGTCTTGAACTTCGAAAAATGAGGAAGTCTCGCAGAATTGCTTCGTTTCGGATGTTGTCAAGTTCAAAAAATGAA